ACGAGAAAATCTCGTCACATTCGACGGAGACACAATACCGTTAGATAACTACTCTCTAGTGGTATTATCACGATTGACTACATAAAGTCAAGAGATAACGTGTCAGATCCACTTACAAAAGGCCTATCTAGAGAGGCAGTTGAAAGATCATCAAAGGGAATGGGGCTAAGGCCTAGGACAAGTCATCATGGCGGTAACTCTACCTAACAGACTGGAGATCCAAAGAGCTAGGTTCAAAGAGATCAAATAAAATTATGAATGATGGTTCAACATTGTCAAATAACACAACCCATTCTCCTGATGAAGATAATGTTCAGAAATCAAGGTAAAGCATTAAGGCTTTTTGATGAGTTAATAAAGTTTAAAGCTTTTTAATGATTTGCTAAGTCTGGCAGGATATGACCAGATAGTGTGTCTATAGGATTACACGTTTAGAAATCACCTATGTGAGTGTGAAGTATAAGTCGCTTTAAGGGGAATAAAAGTAAAGGCCCATTCTTAAGCACTCATGAAACCAGGCGGTGTTCATGGCTGAAATGAACACAACCGTGAGAACCAAAGATGGTTAAGGATTGATTGTGTGACTTATGGTTGTCTAGGTATACACCAAAGCTCGACGGTTCAAAGATATCAAATCTACCGATTGACCGAGTATATCCGACATAAGTTCACTACGAAAAATTCAAAGGGAAATCTACTTATCCAGATGCAATTAATCCTTATTTGCGAATTACACAGTATTTTCATGCATGTTTTTTCACATATGTCTATTTTTCATTTATGTGGGGGATTGTTGCGTTTTTTCTTTAAAGGGTGTGAATGGAAAATGGAAGAGGCACCTTTTGGATTGCACCTCTCCATATCACCATTCCTTTGTCTATAAATTTAGAGGCTTGGCCTCATTTTTAAGGTATGAAAAATCTGAAATCTTCTCCCCTCTTTTCTACATTGTTGCATTATTTTTTAAATAAATATAAGTGTCAAGTGTGATTTGCTCCGTTTGTTGAGTTCGCTGAAGTTCTGTGATTTATAGTGCCGATATCACAGAATAGTTATTCTGTTCTATCCTGGGGGGGAATTAATCCATAACCTTGGGCAACAGTGAGGGAATTAAATTCCTTAAGAACACACTGTGAATTCAGTGGGTTCGGGATTATTTTACAATTTATTTATTGAACTAACATTTGTTTGCTTATCTGATTATCTGATTTTGAACACAGTATTGATAACACTCTCTTCCACGTTAATTATTTAATAGCAATTGTAAGTTATTATTAATTGGTATATTAATTGTCTAATAGCAATTATAAATTGTTAACTAATCAGAATTTTGGATTACCTATCGATCTCGTCCCCTAGAAATTTTGCCAATAGAACCCAACTTATTAATGAAAAAAAGGAGAGGTCAGAATGCGGTGAAACCAAATGAAATTCAACGAAATCAAATTTGACAGCAAACGACGCCAATAGTGAAGCTTTTGATGATCGGGAAACTGAACTTGTACAAAAGTATTGACCATAAGCTAGGTAGAATGGGGAGGAAGAAGATGGAGAGAAAATGTAGATTGGAGTCTAATATATTATTTTATATATCAATGGTAGTTTGTATATGATATTGTAATTAAGTGATAACCTCTCTAAAAGGGATAATATAAAAGGGATAAATAAGTTTATAATGTTGTATAGATCAGTAGTAAATGTTCAATTAATAGTAGCTTGGGGTTTACATGGCGTAAGTGCAGGGAAAGTGCGCATATAGCTGATTGGAGGACCTCTAGCCGAACATTACGAAGTATTTAATATTTAGTCGCTTTATAATCAACTTCATCAGAGTTTTTCTTTCTCGGTCGTCTGTCTTAATAAGTGGATTCCGATTCATGCACTCGTTCTCTGCTGCATTGGTCTTTTCACTCCCCACTCTCCATCATAACAAAATGTTTTCACTATATTTCAGAAGTAGTCAAAGGAAGTACGGCGAGTCTGAGTAGGAAGAAATTTACTAAGAAGTAGGGTATACAATAATGGATCAATTCATTCAACAAGATCTGTTCGGATTAGACCAGGATGAATGGGATGTAACTAAAGTTCAAAAATTGGTGACTAACAAACTGCAGATATACATGTTTGAATGCCTAATTTCAGACATGTATGTCTTTAGTTGGCATATTTTTTGTGTAGTTCGAACTACAAAAAACTATATCTAAAATTAGGCTTAGCAATCTATATGCTTAAAGTTTGCAATAGTTAATACTTATTACTTAGCGACTTGTCCTGATCTTATTGAGATTTGAGAGCATTGTGAGACTTGATACCGGACTAGCAAGCTAGAGAATAAGCCCTATCTTCTAGATGCATGCTAATAGCACAATAACCACATCTAATGTTTCAACCAACCAAAAGATAAATAAACCAACATTTGATACAAGTTATTAGTGTTATAAGGTCAAAAGCTTCCTAATTGGTTGGAGTAGTTCTTGAAACTATTTGTATTTGTATTTTGGCTGAACGATTTAATTTTCTAAGTGAAATATACATCCTTCTTGGGGATAATATTGCATAAGGTTACTTCTTACCAAATTCTCAAATAACGCACTTCCATGCAGTTTACTTAACCAATTGATCAAACAATGTATTATATTTAAAGAATTTTATTGTGTTTGATGTGAATTAAGGTCACTATTTTCATTTTAAGTGGTGAGGCAGCAACAAACAATACCAAACATATAAGAATGAATGGGATAATGTTGCGGCCAAACGCACACGCAAGTATACGCGGTCGTCAAGTAATAAAGTGACTAAAAATCGGATGTCGAACCCACGAGGACTTGTGATTAACTATTAACTAAATTAGACTATCCTAATTATCTAAACAAGAATTAAACCTAAAAATATTTGATTCTAAACTAATTAAATAAAAAATATAAGTAATGAACTTTGAACAGAGAAAGAGCAGATTTTTATGATATCAATATAATAAAAACGATCTAGGGTTATGGGCTATCTAACAATCCTATTGTATTCTTCAATTGAATTGACCGACTAATTTATCTAGCTTATTGGTTGACAGGGTTAATATTGCTCATAAGAATCTGTCGAGTTCTTACTCGCCTATTCAAGCTAACCTAACGCCTATATGTCTATGGAGTTAGAATCAACAAGAACGCATTTATAATTCCTGTAAATCAACCAAGCAAGGCAATTAGGTATATGTCTATCCTAACCACGAATCCGTTCCCCGATGCCCGAGTTCAAGAACTTGCCCTACTCAATCCTATATGCAATATAGAATTCCCACTTTCGAGTTCAATTCTAGATTCGTAGATAATATTCAATTGGTGATCAAGCAATTAAATAATTAAGTGCAAGATTGAATAAATAAACTAATATGATAAATCAAGAAGTCAAAATCAATATCCGAATAACAATAGTCATGAAAGAACCACAACCCTAGAACGTGAAGTTTAGCTCCACATAGACATGGTAGCCAAACAACAAATCATACAAAGAAACATAAAAATTATTAAGTTTGGTGAGAGAAAGATGGAACTTGATGAATTTCGGCCTCCACGGAGGCTTTGTGCTTGTGTTTTCCTCTCAAAACGTCCTCCCTCTCCAAAATAGGTTTAGGACCCCTTTTATACAAGTTGGGACCGTGTAGGATCGAAATAACCAAGTCCCAGGCGAAATAGGACACTTTCCCGTCTTGAGCGTCCAAGGCAGCGTGGGGCGCTGGCCCTGGCGCTCAAATTTCTTGGCTACTGTAAATTGCGCCACAGTGAGTGCCCCACGCTCACTGTGGCCCTCAAATTTCACTTTTTGCGTTTTTGTCCCGATTTCGCTCCAATTCGCGCCCTTTCGTCCCAAATTGCATCCGAATGATCCCTACACATAGAAATACCAAAATTTAGCACAAATAATCATATTAAACATCTCAAATCATCGAGACATGAGCAAAATGTGAGGCAATATATATCAAAATATGCATACACTAAGCCAATTATCAGATAATCAATAATGTCATCCATATTGAGTGTTCACTCAAAAGGGGTTTGGCTGGTTAAAAAACATATTGATTGGTAGAACAACAGTCATTTTTCTTTAGAAAAAAATGATTTCAAGGAAATATAATTTTTTCGAAAAAAAAAACTTCATAATATTAGTTAATATAGAATAATATCTTTCAGGAAAAAAGATATGTTAAAGATTAATATTAATATTAGAAACCGGATAGTGTTTTGATATTTTTTGAGTATTAAAGATTGATAATAATATTAAAGATTGACAAGAGTAGGTTGCTCTAGTGGTAAGCACCCTCCACTTACAATCAAGAAGTTGTGAGTTCGAGTTCTTGGAGGGAGATGAACTTACAATCTAGAGGTTGTGAGTTCGAGTCACCCCAAGAGGGGAACTGATATGAAATTAAAATTCAAAATAGTTATAAAGTCTAAAGAGTTGTTGTTGATATGAAATTAAAAGTCAAAATAGTTATAAAGACTAAAGAGAATGACTTACATCCATAGGTCAAGAAAGTCATTTTTCGCAATAAGTTTTCTCTGTAAAACGTGTTTAGCAATGAAATAGTCAAAATGGAAGATTTTTTTTATTTTTTTATTTGTAACAAAGACTGAAATTAAATTTGTCTCTGAAAAATGACTTCCTTTTGTACTAAATATCAAAAGAGATCAGATTGCCTCAATGACATCGTTCTAACATTTTCTTAAGAAAAAAAGTAACAAATATTGAAACAAACACAAAATCAAGGCATTAAAATGCATGTATCAATTTAATACAAAATCTGAGTCAAAATTCAAGAAAAAAAATGGAAATAGTAAGTACTTCAATGACTCCCGCTTTGAAAAGCAAAACAGTTATTATTTCCCAAAAACAAAACTTATGTGTTTATGTTCTAAAGTACTCCGTACTCTGTAGTACTAGTAAACTTGTCTACCGACAAAATTTAAGGCAATCAAAATTTTTATTTTTGGTAATAACACAACTACACAAATTTGGTAGTATCCTTCTTTTCTTTGGTATGAGAAAATCCCCCTTCAAATCATAACAGTTCTTGTTTGTTTTTTTCCTTCCTCCTGCCGTAACAGACCAATAGGGTGGCGCTTTACATCATAGGAATTAGGAAAAACATCATTGACCCTTTGAAGCTGGAGTGTCAGACTCACATTGGTCCGAAGTTGGTATTTTCACAATCTTTCTTCTTCTTTCCTTAGATCTAGGAATAGTCTTTCCAACAGAAAGGAGGAGGAAACTGCAGATCCCAGATTTCACACATTAGAGATACAACTCTCTCTTTCTTCCTCCTCTTTTGTTCATATGATATGATCATATGAAACAAGGAGAAAAAATAATAAAACCCCAGAAAAAAAACATTTCTTTTTTATTTGATTAGTGTATAGAGAAATACATGGAGATGGGTATTCAAGAAAATGGGAATGGCGGTGTTCTGAAGTATAAGAGGATGGATTCTGATACAGTGGAAGAGGATGGTGTATTATGTGAAGAAAAAGGAAATGACAGCAGCAGAAAATATGTCTTGGTTTGTGCTATCTTTGCATCACTTAATTCTGTGCTCCTTGGATATGGTTGGTATATCTACTTCTTCTCCAAATAAATACTGCTTATTTTTTGTCCTGTCGGACAAGAGTGGGGTGCTCACGGAGCACCCTCCACTTCCAACTTTCAACTTCCGAGTTTGTGAGCTCCAGTCATCCAAGAGCAAGACACTGAGTTCTTGGAGTAAAGTGAGCCGAATCGGAAACAGCCTCTCTGCCCAGGTTAAGGGTAAAGTTTGCGTACAAACTACCCTCCCAGACCCCACTAGTGGGATTATGCTGGGCTGTTGTTGTTGTTGTTTTTGTCCTGTCGTGTTTTTCCCTTTTATCTGTTCCTTCAACATTTATATTAATTCTCTGCTTTACTATTGATTTGGCTGTGTACATTATATATCTTTTAAAAGGCATGTACTTAAAGTAACAAGATTCATTTATGTTGTGGATTAGGATTCCGTTTGAACTATGATAAGCTTGGAAATGAATCTTTTCCTTTTTGTGATAAGGGTCTAATGCTAGAGGACACTGGATTATGCTGGTATCTGCTCTTGGCAGTTCAAATGAGTGATTAGAGTTGTAATTTTTGCTGACTAGTGTCTTTGGGTTTAGCATTTTGATGCCACTTCTCCTTAATAGTTCGGTATAAAAGCCATCCCCTTTTTGTATATTGACCTCAATGTTTTAGTTGGTTATCTGTTTAATTGAAAGCTAGTATCTAATAGGAACAATTCCATTTACAGATGTTGGTGTTATGAGTGGAGCTATTATCTTTATTCAGCAAGATTTGAAAATTACTGAAGTGCAAGAAGAAGTCCTTGTCGGAATCCTAAGCATAATTTCGCTTTTGGGGAGTTTAGCAGGAGGAAAAACATCAGATGCCATTGGCAGGAAATGGACCATGGCTTTTGCAGCCATTGTGTTTCAATCTGGTGCTCTTATAATGGCTCTTGCTCCTAATTTCAGGGTGTTAATGATAGGCAGGTTTTTGGCTGGAATTGGTATTGGTTTTGGAGTTATGATTGCTCCTGTTTATATAGCTGAGATATCACCTACAGTTGCCAGGGGATCATTTACTTCTTTCCCTGAGATATTCATCAATCTTGGAATTCTTTTAGGTTATGTTTCGAATTATGCTTTTTCTGGTTTACCCCCCCATATAAATTGGAGAGTCATGCTTGGTGTGGGGATTCTCCCCTCAGTTTTTATTGGTATCGCGCTATTTGTTATTCCTGAATCTCCAAGATGGTTGGTGATGAAAAATCGGATTGATGAAGCGAGGGTGGTGCTATTAAAAACTAATGAAAATGCAAGTGAAGTGGAGGAGAGGTTAGCAGAAATTCAGCAAGCAGCAGGGCATGTTAATGCAGAGAAATATGAAGAGAAAGCCGTGTGGCGTGAACTGCTAAATCCTTCACCTGGTGTTCGAAGAATGCTGATTACAGGTTGCGGGATACAGTGCTTTCAACAGGTCACAGGTATAGATGCAACTGTGTATTATAGTCCAACAATTTTTAAGGACGCCGGAATTAAGGGTAACACTCAACTCTTAGCTGCAACTGTTGCTGTTGGGTTCACAAAAACAATATTCATTTTGATAGCCATATTTCTCATTGACAAAGTTGGTAGGAAACCTTTGTTATATGTCAGTACAATTGGTATGACTACTTGTCTGTTTGGTCTTGGCCTCACACTTTCTTTACTGGGGAATGGTTCAGTTGGTATCAAATTGGCAATTTTATGTGTATGTGGAAATGTAGCATTCTTTTCCGTGGGGATTGGTCCTATTTGTTGGGTCTTAACATCTGAAATCTTCCCTTTAAGACTTAGAGCCCAAGCATCAGCTCTTGGTGCAGTGGGGAGTAGAGTTAGTAGTGGTGTGGTTGCAATGTCTTTCCTCTCAGTATCTCGTATGATTACTGTTGGAGGAACATTTTTTGTGTTTGCTGCTATATCAGCTCTATCTGTTGCTTTTGTTCATAAATGTGTTCCAGAAACAAAGGGGAAATCGCTGGAAGAAATCGAAATGATGTTCCAGAATGATAGGCCACATCAAGGTGGTGAATTGGAGCTTGAAGATGTCAAACATCTAATGCATATACAATGAAGAGGTATAAGATATCATAGTTTTAGCAGCAGTGAGAAGAAAGTTGGCATTTGCTCGCGAGACACTTATTAAACTTGCCAGCTTCAAAATATTTGTGAATTGTGAAGAGTTAATTGCATCACACAATAAGATAAAGATATAAAAGAAAATTATACTCATTCGTCCTTAGGGCTGAAGCAGTCTTGTATCTTGATGACATTGGAATATTTGATATCGAGAAACTTAGAAGTAATACATAGACTTTCCTCCTCTTCCTCTTCTTCTTTTTCTTTTCCTTTTTTTTTTAAAAAAACAATAGTGATATTGAACATCTGTATATAGGTTCAAATTGGTATTTTACAAAGACTTTTGTTGAACCACTATTTTCTTCTTCTGTTTCCATGGCATTATTGTGAGTTAGAGTGGATTACATTACCATATACCTCTGTGTTTACCCATAGGGATTAATGTTAGCCATGCAGTATTTCTCAAGAACAATGGTCTATGGTTTAACCTTATTTTCCCTTTGCCTTATCTTCCTTTCATCTTTCTGTTTTTCTTTAACAAAACGCGCAGAAATCTGAAGTTTCTGTCATGTAATGGTTAACTGGAAGATGAACAAGAGTGAATAAATGCTAAATAGCAAGTCAAAGTTTTGGTCAGTCCTCAATGGTAAAGGAATTAAATGTACCGCTTTTTTCCATCTAAAATACTCATCCTCTTCTAACGTCTTTAAAGAATAATAGTAGCAATTATTTTGAGCATTCTGGAGATATTGAGTTGGAGGTATACCGAACAGATAGACCTGAAAATGAAAGCACTTAAAGGACCACATGCACTAATAAAAAGAAAAGGACTGATCATCAAAGTTTCACCAGCTAAAACATTAATACTCCTACCTTTTTTAGTCCTGCAAGTTGGGTAAATTATAGACTTTGTAACACCAAATACACCAATTTTGATCAGCAATGCAATTGGAGAGGTGAGTAAAAAACAGATAAAAAGACGAAAAGAGATTGGCCCAAGTATGGAGTAGTATCTACACAAAAGACAGCAGTCATGTGCAGCATATGCATTTCCTAAAGAAACTTTACCAACACTTAGCATTGTACCCTAACACTGCTTGAAATCCCAAATTGAGCAATTTCAGGAAAGTTTATTTAGCAATTGACCGCTAGATTAAGTATAGTTCGATCTCCATCTATATATTTTTTTTTTGTTGCAAGGCAGAGATACGGAGAACCTCACATTCTAGTACCATGCGACCACAAAACTTAATCTCCTCTGGCCTCTTCAGAAAAACTCAGTTTAATGACATTATTGTAGTCTTGAGAGGATTAATATGAAGATCACTACAGGATACAAATTCAGTTATAATAAAGTAATGTAGGCAGTGAAAGCTCAATAATCAGTGTCAAGAAGCCATCAATTAGCAACTGTCAGACAGACTAGTCCTGGTCAAGGAGCAAAAGAAGCATCAAGAAAGTTAGGAGCTGCTGATTCTATATGTTTGGTGGTCACTTTACTTAAATTGATTTTACTAGATAGAGATGAAAGAAAATTTCCAAATGTTCTCCATAGTAATCTGCTTCTGATCAACAACATAATCTGCACCAACTAAGGAGATATATACGCTGAAGGTGGTTGGTTCACAAGATCTCCATGACCTTTCTGCACAACTACATTCACATGGAACTAACCAGATAAAATTATGAAATACTTTATTAGTTATTAGTGTAGTTTCTGTATAACTATTAGAGTAATTTCAGAAGAAACTTGCTGTCTGACCTATTCTCAGACAGGTAGTCTCCTACACAGATTTAGAGGGAAAAGTTTCACTTGCTTCCATAGAGCCAGCATAATTTCATGAACAACAATGCTAACAAACTCTGGACCAAAATTAAAAGGACAAGTGCTAATCAGTAGTAGCTCAAAGGTTTGATCAGTGTATAGGTGAACAGCCTTACAACACATATAGTGGTCCTGAATATTCACCATTTTACAGCCGCCCTCTCACCTTTGCTTCCAACTGCTCTTGTACCTTAGATATTAAGGACAACTGAAGTATTTGCCAAAGTCAAACAAAGAATCAAGATATTTATCCAATTAAAATGGTGTGCCAATAGAACTTCAGTCGCTGGGAACTTAGAAATAATTTTGCTTTTCTATCATGTATAATTTGCTAATCACATAGACAATCAAGTAGAATACATGGATCCTGCATTATTTCTGTACCACCTAATTTTCTGAAACACAACCTATGGAATGAACTGAGGTGGTCCATAATCCTATAATAATTAATGAAGAAAAAAACAAGTCGATAACTAATTGTTCGCGGCGTATACTTACAACTTTGCGGAGTAAGAATTGCAGAAAACACAACAATCTGACATTATATGTTGGATTATGCTTCCTTCTTCAACCTTAAGCCCTCTACTCTGTTTGTTCCAAAGATGCACAGCCAAACTTTGGCTCTGAATCTGCCGGAGTTTAGAGAGCAACCATTTTGAGTGAGTCTCGTTCCTTGGCCCAAGAAAGAGACTACCAATCCTACTCCAATCAACTGGATAAAAAGCCATTGGAGGCAAAACTGTGAAATTGTATCCATCCCTTCCACTTACCCTTGACACAACCCTTGAAACCAAGTAAGGACCATTATGTCCCCATTTATTCCCATCAAATGTAAGTGCAAATTCCTCAATGAACTTGTACAACAAAGGATGCCCCTTATCAAAAATCATTACAGCATTATTTAACCTGCTCCAATTTTTTGTTTCAACATCAATAGTTTGAGCCCCAATTACATTTCTTAGCTTCCCAAAACTTCTCAACAGTATAACATCTGTATCTAAATAAATCCCACCAAACTTGTACAATAAACCAAGTCTAAGCAAATTTGAGAGGTTCTGACCTATAGAAACTTCCCCTGGATCTATATTACCCTTCATTAAGCTATCAACCCAGGCTCGAGCCAATGTATTTTTAAACAAATAATAATAATCAGGTGAGATTGCAGTTACCCTTAATCCTTTCTCAAAGAAAGGCTTTAAAACTTGCATTCCCTTTGGTGAATCCATTGAAGTGGACATAACTACCAAACAGCCATTTGGATGTGTTTTGAATAAACTCTCAACAGCAAACTGTTCCCTTTCACCAAAAGATTCAATTGAAGAAATCCAAGTCATAAAAAACCTATACTTACAGGAAGTATTGGATGATTTAGCTCCAAAAAAAATTTTCATTCTCATTGAGAACTCATTAATTCTTGCCCCCGAACCAAGAACTTTCACCAAAGACTTCTTTTTTCGCCTTCTTCTAGGATGATAAGCCACTGAATTATATGTAAAACTCACAAAGTTTTGATTTTTGCGAGAAATTGTCAACTGGGTGTTTGTTTTTTGAAGTGGGGTTTCCTCTTTTACTGCATATATCACAGAAGATGAGAGTTTAGTTGAAGCAGATAAAGAAACCAACTTTCTTGATTTTCTGGCGACATTTTCAGTTAAAAAGTTAGAAATCTCCGGCGAGGAGTTGGCCGGAACTGGAACTTGAATGTAGAACACAGTGGAACTGTTGTAAGCTATGAGAAAAAGCAGAAAGCAAGAAACAATTGCATATAAGGACCTTTTAGTCAACTGGAAATTACAAAAATGGTGAAAAAACTGAGACAAACTAGAATTGATAGTTCTCTTTGTATTATTAATTACACTGTCCATTGTCTTTTCTTGGACATAAAAATGTGTAGTTTTTCATAGCTGATGTCTGAGGTATTGTTTAGCTGTGAGAAAGAGATGAAGGTGAAAGTTGAGGAAGTTGAAGAGTAATTTTTTAGTGATGGAGGCGGCAAAAAAAAGTGCAGGAAAATTGAAAGATGGTTTTTTAGTGGGTGTTGTGTTGTGTAGTGTGCACTTTGGAAAATTTTAGTGGTAAAAAAAGATTTTATTGGATGAAAAGTTCTTGGGGTTTGAGCCTCTTTTGTACTTTTGTGAAGTGAGGGAGAAAGAGAGAATGAGAATTAAATGTAGTGCAGTAGTAGAGTAGGTTGATTGGGTTCTTAGTCTTGGCAGTTGGTTTCCCCTCTGCCAGTCCTTTATGAAGAACAACTATATATAGCATCGGCTAGGGTGGACCGGCCCACATGGGCGATGGGCCTAAACGGTCCTAACCGGATAGGATCGGAACCGTGGGGTGGTGGGCCGGTTTCATAGGGAGGCCCGCGAGACCGGAACCGTTTAGGATTGGGACCGGCTCAGAAGTGGGCCGGTTCAAGCGGTCATAAACAGGCCCAACGGATAATTTTTTTAAAAAAATGACCGTTTGGCCATTTAAAAACTAGCCGTTTGATCTGCCAAAATAGCTGTTGGCTATTTGTAAAATAGTTATTTAACCCCCCAAATTTTGTTTTAACCCCAAACTTTTTATAATTATACTTTTTTTCCTATTTTCAACTATAAATACCCCCTCATTCTTTCATTTTTCTCACAAAATTATCAATCTCTCTCAATCTCTCTATAATATTTTTCTATAATTGCTTACTTAATTGTTACAATTTGTGCAAAATTGTGAAGTTGGTGAATTGAAGTCTTCAAGTCTTCAACGATAATTATTTTTCAACAAGTTGTTTGTCAATTCGGTAAACTCGTTCCAACTCTTAAGTTTTAATATTATAGTTTTGTTTGTTTTATTTACTTTGCTTGATTAATTAAGATGGCTTATTCCCTAAAAAAAATCCAAGAGTGGTGAATCTAGTGGCCAATCTGTTCCTCCTCCACTTCCCCCGGCTCCCCGGGCGAAACCTGTTACCCGTCCTACACCTGCTATTCTTGATAGCGATAATAGTTTATAACAATTTACCGAGAGTCAATTTTACCATAATATTGCCCCCGGTGAACAATTAAACTATGAATATATGAATGCTCTTTATGGTAATCCGACTATTGATGAAAATGATGATGAAGAAATAGATTTTGATGAAACGCAACCGGATGACGATACACCCACTAGTCCTGCTCCTAAAGTTAACCCAACTAATAATAATCCAAATGATCCCCCGTCTGACCCTCATGTTACTGCCCCTACTTTTTCTAGACAACCTTCTAAACGAGCAGAAACATCTCTTGTTTGGCTNGATGAGGATTGGATAATGCAAAAACGCATTATTGCTTATAGAATAATTAATTCACGTCACACAGATAGTTTATTTCTAGCACGATAATAGATATTGTAGATATTTTTGCATTAGTGATAAAATAATGTCAGTTTCAATGGATAATGCTACTAGTAACACAAATGTTGTAGCCTTGCTTACCACTACACTAAGTCCTGCATTTAGTAACATTTTTCATG